ATACCCCATAACTTTTAATATTTATAAATATGGCACCGTATCTATATCCTACTTTTTTTTTATTTTATCGTATCCTCGTACCCATTTCCGCGTACCAGTATTGGTGCTACATAGGTTATTTCTGGTTTTACTCAAGTTTGCGGGTCTGCCTTCAACCGGACCGGTTTCCAGGTCGGGTGGCCAGGTTCCGGGTCGAACCGCCCGGTATAGTCCGGTTCTCTTAACATAGCGTATAATCGATAGTATTTTTTTTTTGTCATGCATGTCAACTAGTCAAGCACGACATGAGGATTGAGGTAAGGTCTCAACGGTAGCTTTTAAGAGCCAGATAAATCTGTTTTTCGGCTTATCAAGCTTATCGGCCATTTTTTTAACAAAATACGTAACTTTTGACCATGCGCGCTGAATTATGTAATAATAATAAAAAGTAAGGTTGAAGTTACTTTTTTTGGGTATTGGCTGAAGTTAGTCTAGATGACCATTGTAGCTATTTTTTCATATAATTTTTTCTTTATTTTTTAATAAAATATATTTTAAATAATATAATTTTTTCATAAATTAGCAGAATGGTCAATACAGACTAAACTTCATTAACTTCAGCAAAATAAGACGATTCAACCAATTTTGATGTTATCAAACGGACTCTAAATGACATAAATAAGTTAGTGCCAATCTAAATTAGAGGTGCCTAGATTACAAGTTTAGTGAAAAAACATGTATTTAGGGAAAGAAAGGCTTAGAAAGTAATTAAACTTTGATTGTTTAGGAGTTGAAATATAAAAAGAGCGCTAGTTGAAATACTACGTATAAAAATAGTGCTAGATGACCATAAAAAGAGCCTAAACTTCATTGGGGTTAAATAGCTTTCTCGTATGATGATATGATGGGGCCATTCTTTAAGACGACATACTCCGTATATTACTACTAGATGTAGTACCCGTGCGATGCACGGAGTGTATCTAGATAGAATAAAAATTCATTTGAAATCATACGGTGTGTAAAGTATGTTTTTTTTTATTAGATTAAAAAAACAATAGAGTTATATGTTCTATCTTTGATGATGTAAGTCATGTAACAACACTTGGAAAATAAAAATTTGGTTTGAACTAAAAATTGCAAATAAATAAAAATTAAAATTCCATGTGATAATATATTTAATAAATAATGACACTTCATCTTTGAGGCCTCCCAAAACTGATAATGGAATTAATGATATTATAATTATTAGTATGTCTCATTAAACTATAAAAGAAATGAACCATACATGTTTATAGGGGATGTTTAGATCTACTTCTTAAAATTGTTTTTGTTCTCTGAGGGTGCAGAAGCTGATATTGGAGTGTTTGGAAGAAACAATAGAAGTACTTAACTTCTAAGGATGTTTTTTTTATTGAAATTTGCTGGTCTAGTCTGATCTGGTCTAGTCTGGTCTGGTCTGGTAATCGTTTAGTCTCCGTGTACTTTATAACTACAAAATTCTGGTCTGGTCTGGGACTGAAAACATTCCAAAAGAATACATCCTAAATGGTCCAAATTACTCCTAGAAACAATTTTTTAGAAGTTTGAGAAAAAAACTTTTGAAAAACTGAATCGTCTTGTTTTAGAAAAGAAGTAGAAACATAATCAATTCCAAATACATACAAAAGTATCATAAAGTCTATGAACTGCTTTATAGACCACATTATTAGTGATATTGATAACACACTCTCGTCATCACATATTTGAGTCTTCAACTCACTCCATGACCCTTAAAAAGGGCAATGTGTAATTGACTTTGTGTAAAGACATATTCTGGAAGATATATGGTCAATTGATGCAGAGATTGTCCTTCTTTATAGACCACATTATTAGTGGTATTGTTGTTTTGTTGTAATTGTTGCATAATTCTATCAAAGAAGGCTTTATTTGTTATGTACATTATTAAAAATAGCTTGTTATAATGGCTAGTTAAATACATATTCTCTAATAAACCGTAATATGAATGTTTTTTTAATTGGATTAAAGTTTTTTAGGTATGATGTTTGTATTTGACTGATATATTTTCCGGATTGATCTGACTCGTTAAAATATCTTGTCTAACTTTATTTAAGTTTAATTTAACGTGATTTTAAAAATTTCAATCAAAAACATCTTTACAATATAATGATTATTATTGGTAGTGGTGTTATTTTGTATTGACATGCTAGATAATACGTAGTACTACGTAAAGCATTTGTTTTCATTGATATTTTTATTTTCATTTTCTGTATTTTAGAATTGGATCATATAACAAATTTCCCCCCAAATAATGTTTAAATAAAAAAAACAATGACTAAATTAGTGTTGGGTTAACAGTATTTTCCAAAATACTATGGGGACAACCCGGAGTTAAGAAAACTGACGCTTGAACGGGCGGCGGTTTAGGCAAATGTTATAACTCAACCAACGGAAGCATTGGTAATTTGGTTCCATCAAATTAAAAACACCTATTTTGTTTAATGGCATAATTAACGCTTTTATTTATACTCCGGTTGTTACAAAAAATATATCAAAATTCATAACATTTTATTATCATTCATGACACTAATATTGCATATATAATAATAAAAAAACAATTAAGCACTTTAAAAAGACTTTAGGTTTTTAAATTGGTGTAACTTTTTTATTTGTAATCCGATTGTTACAAAAAGTACATCAAAATTCATAACTTTTTATTATCTTTCATATAACACAATTATTACACACACACACACACAATTTAGCACTTTAAAAAGACCTCGATTTTTTACAGTGTTGTAACTTTTTTATTCCTACTCCGATTGTTATAGAAAATATATCAAAATTCATAACGTGTTATTTTCTTTCATATGATACTAATATTGCATATAAAAAAAATTAATGAGGCACGTTAAAAAACTTTAGTTTTTTTAACTGGTGCAAATTTTTTATTTGAAGATTGATTGTTACAAAAAAATATATCAAAAATCATAACTTTTTATTATATTTCATATGACACCAATATTGCATACATAAAAATAAAATAATACTCCGGTAGTTTAGCAATATTGCATCAATAAAATTTACATCTCTGAAGTGTTCAATTATTTTTTTCATAATGCAAGAGAGTATGCCTTAGTAGGATCGGTACACCGTGCGCATGGTGTCCACGGTATAATTTGTCGAACAATTTAATTATCAAATATAGATTCACACTTTGTTACTTTATAAAAATATACGAAGTATATAAATTAAGAATAAATACTCATGTAGATGTGTATAAATATTGAAATACAACTTTTCGTACATTTGGTTCCTTTTTTAGAAATTTTATTTCCTACTATTACTTTTATTGTTACGATACATGTTAGTTGGAAATTATAATTCCTACCGTAGTTGATTCACGTGTGAGCATGCATGGATTTACATTCCACAATTAATTTGGACACATCGAGTTCCTTGGGGATTAAAATCTATTCGACATTAATGCCCTATTATGAACCTAATTTGGGGAGGATTTTTCTCTCGCCAATTGTTGTCCAAACTCAGTTATTTTATATTATATACAAATAAATATTTTTCTATAACTCATTTTTATATAACGGTCTATATAAAATATGTGTTGTGCTTAAAATCATTTATGTTGCACGGAATACTAATTTTTAATATATCATATTTCTTTCCATATATATAAATTAATTATTCTGCTTATTCTCAACATTATAATATCATTACATCATCATAATAATAATAGCTATTATTATTATTATTATTATTATTATTATTAGTATTATTATTATTATTGTGATCATCATCATGAATATTATCATTATTCTAATCATCATCAGCATCAGTATTTATTTTGTAAATTAAATTTATTTGAGGTTTTTTTGTTTAAAAATCCTCATTTTTTATTTTCATTTTGTAATTTAAAAATGGATGATATAGTGATGAATGTTAGTGCTACGTACCATATATGTAGTTTGGTGGGAAATTAAAAGGAATCTAAGTGGCTACTTTACACATGGTGTAAAAATGCCTACTTTATTTGATATACGGAGCAATAAATATTTTATTTATGTAAGCATTACTAAAGGCTCACATGATTATATTTAGTGTGTGCGTTACATATGTTATGGAAGTTGAGTTACATTTTCGCCCTTATTTTGAGCGGCAATTTTGTCTCCAAAAATTGTGGCGTGACTATTACTTTATCTTTATATAAAGATAAAGATTTGCTCATATTTAATTACCAAAAGCAATCATGGTCGTGTTTTTTTTAAACACGACCATGATATAAAGATTATTTAATTTAAAGATTATCTAAAGATAAAGATTATTGTTGTTATTATTAGTATTATTATTATTGATGTAGCAGTATGACAACTACTTACGCACATTCTATGATCTTATAAGTTAATTTTTTTAACGAATTATTATTTAAAATATTCAAAATGGCAAGTACATACTTCCTATTCTTATTTGGGCGGCACTTCTGATTTTAACAAAGTGGAAAACGTAACTACTAAAACATTTATGATAAACTAATTTGATAAACTTGGTATCTAAACATTTTATGCTCAATTGGCCCGTTCATGATATTTTAAAATGGTAATAATATATTCTACATTTAATACTCCGTAACCCACAACTTGACTACTCACATATTTATTACTTTTTGGGCGGGAATTTTCCCTCCAATAGTTGTTGCCAGACTGTTACTTTATACTATATAAAGATGTCACGAATCATCATACGTCACACATTACGAATATTGGCAAGGAACTTTGACGACACCATATGTCATATAACGAGAAGTTTATCAAACGGATGTTTCGTTCAACACTTGATAAACCAGGAGGAAATTTTGGGCCACACATGCTAGTCAAAAATTATTCTTGGAAAGGAAATAGTGAAGGAAAGTGGATTAAAAAAGCATGAAAACATAAACAACATGAAACCGCCGTTATTAAAGAAGGGGAGAACCGTTTTGCTTTATTGACTATTAATGAAGAGGAAAAAGAGGGATGTCCTGAACCAACAAAACAAAGTGGGGGAAAGAAGGTGACTTTACAGGAGGCTAAATTGGGGCCTTTTGATTCTTCAAAAGAAAAACCTAAGCTGAAAAAGACTAGGCAAGTCTTGGGCACAGAAGCTTTTCTTTCACACAAACCCCAAAACAGAGATAAGGATGCGGCTACCAAATATCAAGCAAATGAGAAAAAAGAACTAAAACAGAAACCTCCAACTAAAGAGCAAGTAGGAACTTCACACGCACTGGAAGTTTTTCTTCAACCAACAAATGGTGGTATTTTCCAGTTTGGTTCCACAAACCAACCGACGGGGGAGTCACTGAATGCTATCAAGGGTTTGGAAAGGAAGAAATTACATGATCTAGACATGAACATAGTTCAGGAGGGAGAGCAAGGAGATGGTGAGGAGCTAGTTGTGGAAATGGTCCCGGATGCCAATACAGGTTCTATGGAGGTTTCAACTTCCGCCTTATCTGAACAATCCTTATGAAAGTGCTGACTTGGAATTGTCGGGGAACTGTTAATAAGCATGCCATATGTCATGTTAAGGAGCTTATCAGGATGCATCATCCCGATATGTTAGGATTGCTTGAAACTAAGTCAGCCAATTCTCAAAGGATGGTTAGCATGGCTAAATCTCTTGGAATGGTTGGTTGGGACTGTATTCCCCCATTGGGTTTCGCTGGGGGTATCCTCCTCCTATGGAATCCAGTAAGGTGGAGCTCACTGTCATAGAAAAAACAAGTCAAGCTTTGCATTGCAATGTGATCTCGAATGATTTTCATATTATTTGCTCTCTGTTATACATTCGTCCTAACCAGGCAGCCAAGGAAAGATGTTGGACAGAATTGAGGGAGTTCAAAAGAAGACATTCTGGTCTGTGGCTCGCTATGGGGGATTTCAACAGTACGCTCTGGGCATCAGAACAGTGTGGTGGAAACATTTTGTGGAATGCTATGGACTGGTTCAGGGATCAACTAAGTAGTTGTGATCTCTACGATGTGGGAACAGAAGGGGCACCCTTTACGTGGATCAAACGAGAAGGATCACGAGTGACCCTTCGGAAACGTTTAGATAGAGTGGTATGGAACGAGGAAGCTCACATGATATTTCCAGAAGGGAAGGTGATGTGTGTTTTCTCGCACTTAAAAAGATTGTAGAATAGTGGTTGAAAGTACGAGTATCGTCTCCACAGGGACGGACAAAAGGGAATTAAAGATTAACTAAATTCAGCGATTAAAAAGAAATAAAATAAATAAATGCAAGTGTGCGAGATTTGATTGGTGAATTAAAATTAAACTAATGCGAATTGAACGATTAAAATAAAAGTGGTTTCTTCTCAATTAACGACGAAGGGAATAGGAATTGATTCCGGGGTAACCAGATTTCTGGCAGATCAGGCCTAATTACATGAATTTAATTTAATTGAGCCTAGCTAATCATTACTAAGTTCTTACCGCTCTCGCGGCGTAGAGTACAATAATTTAGGAGACCAGGCTGATCTCTCATGCGACAGGATCCTAAATTATTGCCAAGACGAGCGAGCTTACGGCCCCTTAATCGCTACTAATCTCTTAGCGAACGATTAAGTGTGTGTGAATGTGTCCTAGAACAAATTAGATCTCTCTTAATTCATTCTACATGCAATTGTAATTCTAGCTGCAGTCTAGGTTACAAGAGATATCAATTAAATTATTCAAACACAAATTAAACGGCATTCATGCAATTAAACCGTCAAGAATCTAGCCATACATCATGATTAACCCCTTCATCAACCCCAAATCCCTAATTAAACTACTCACAATTCATAATTGAAGAATCAACAGAATTGGGATGAATAGAAATAATTGTCATTAATTAAAAAGATGAACTTACAAATAATCCCAGGGTCTTGGAGTAAACAATCGTAAAAACGCAAGTAAATTCGTCCCTAGGCCTCTCCGTAATGTTCGTAACGTCAAAATATGGGTATGGGGGTCTTATTTATAGAAAACAGATGAGTTTGGGCTGAACTGGGACTAAAAAAGGGCTGAAATCCGCGTCTCGGGTGTACGCACGATCGTGCGTACCTTGCCACGCACGATCGTGCGTAGCAGGCAGATTAGTTGCCGCGTTGTTGGCTCTTACGCACGATCGTGCGTCCTTTTACGCACGATCGTGCGTCCGTGCTCTTCAGCCTTTTTTCTATTCCGAATTTGACAAAACTTCCTTCATGAAAGTTGTAGATAATGAAGTCCTCTATCCACCCCAATTTGCCGAATGTGATTTGAATCACCCAATCAAGAGATATGACTAAAATGGTGGAAGGTGTCTTTCTGAAATCGCAACAGAGATCATCTGACTTCATCATCTGTTTTCACCTTGATCCTCTCAGATTCTCGGAATGATGTCTTCATATGATTTGTAGCCCTTGAAGTTGGCTTTCATATGGAACTTGAATCGTGTACATTGGATGCTTATACAAAGAGATATGCTTGAACGATTGACCAAAGGTCATCCTGATCGTCGTTTTCCAGCTTCATTCATCTTCTTTTGATCCCATAGCCAATCCTAGAGCTCTTTTGTCATCAAATCTTCATCGTGAACCTCCCGGTGACCTCCAAAGCTCTCAATCCACTCTCGAATGCATCTCGAATCATCCCGATTGCTCCTCAAGTGCCGATGTTCAACTCTAAATTCCTCATTTTGACTCCAAATGCAACAAAACTTGAACCAACGCACGTTAAACATAACTTGAGCTAAAATTAAGACTTGCAACAACTTAAATCTAGGAAAACCATCAAAATCCAATCCCAACACGCATCAAATACGTGTCTAAATACGGACTTATCAGATTCCCCCACACTTAAGCCTTTGCTTGTCCTCAAGCAAACTGAACAACGGGACTTACGATAATCACCACACGGAATTTAAAATAGTTAGCATGCACTCGTAGTTAAATGGATATTCACAGGACAAACAATCTAAACCAAGAAAATTCTTCCCTAAACTACAACTTTGTACTCAAGCTAAACTATTTGACACAATTATTCACAACATCCTCAAAGTAATGACAGCATACACAAATAAGCTAGCTACTGATCAGAAGGACTTGTGAATGTGATGGTTAATGGTTAATGATAATAGTCCCTTTATTTTGAGAGATAGGAATATTCTAACAAAGACTTAATGTATTTAGGAACTTCAGGGCTATTCTTAGGAACAAGGAATTTAGTAGGCCACAAATTAGGAACAATCATTTAAACCTATGCAAAGAGTAGACATGGTGTACAACTAAGCTAAACCGTCTCAGCACATCTGTGCTTTGACGTATACTTGAAGTACGCGGAGGACTAAAGCTAATTTTTGAGATAGCCTCCAAGTTTATTAATTAAATTCAGTTTCCCTTGTCATGTTGGCACGAGAACGCCGTTTCTTTCGAAAGATACCCAAGTCTCATCTTACGCTTTTTGACCGGGGCTCCCATTCTCTTTTTCGTAAGGCAAGAGGTCTAGCTATATTAATTTTTCACCTTTCGGATTCTCACTAGACATTACCCCATTCTAATCTCGGCCTCACCAAGGAAAAATAGCAATTTAAGTTCATTAATTTAAAAGTGAATCCATGCCTACAATGCAATCCTCGAAAGTATCAAATTCCTAAAAAGTGACTGCTCTTACCCCATTTGGGGCATAGGAACAGTGCCAAAAATGGCTCCTACAAAAATTCCCTAAACTTAGCAAATTAATCTCTTAATTCCCTAAACATCAAGACTAAGTCAGAAATATTCATGGGCAAAGAAATAGGCCATTTGGCTATGGAGCTCAATTAATTGGGTAACAAAGAACAGTCAGGCTCAAAATGGCTTCTCCTAAAGGGTTCTTTCAGGTGGGGTGGATGATTAATGGAGAATTCAATGGGTGACTAATGCCTTCATCCTCTCAACACCTAGATTATAGTGCAAGCAATTTAAGCCTAAACACTTCAAAGATGTTCTAAAAGCATAGTCAAAACGCTAGCCAGCTCACAAAGACACAGTTTAAAGGAAAATTTTTCAAAAATTTTAACATGATTTTTCTATGAATATACAACTAACACCTGCGCATGCTAACTCTAATAATCACATGTAACAACTACTGCCCGAATGCCCAATTCACACCCCCACACTTAAACTTTGGCATCGTCCTCGATGACAAAAAATGCACTATGCACAAGGGGGTAAAGAGGATAGGGTCACGCGTGCTCAACTTAACTCAAGTCAATTATTACAAACAGGCGATTATTAGAGTCACAGAAACTTCCCTAAGGCGTTGGTCGGTGCAGAACTAAACTGAGTCAATGTAATCCTCGGCACATCATCCCTATAACAAGACCCTAAGCTGAAACAAAAACACAAAGCAAAACAACCAAACAACAAACAAAGCAAAAGCGAAAACAAAAGCAGAATTACGCTCGGGTTGCCTCCCGAGAAGCGCTATTTTTAACGTCGTGTGCCCGACGATACCTCGTAAGCTCTCAAATACAAAAGACTGTAATGGTGCACTAGTAATCAACGTTTCCAGCTTCCCCTCAACAAATGCCATTAGGTGGCGCAGATTCTTAAATTCTCGAATATGCGTAGGCAGCACATGGTCTTCATAATCCTCATCAGCAGCACAAAAGTGAAGGATGAAACTCTCATCCTCTTCAGGTGGATAGGAAACATGAGTGAGAACTTTGATTACTCTAGGTATCACCGGAAGCTCAAAAGATGTCTCGAAGCAAAGATTAGGAGCAACACCGTGATCGAAGTGCACCATAGAAAAGTCTTTTTCTTCTCCACAAACAACATGAACATTCGCAACCTCTCCTCCAAACTCTGTATCACTCTCCATGAATGCATCCCAATTCGTTTCGTCACTCTTCTTATTAATATCCTCCAAGCAGTTGTGATCATTCTCCACACACAAAGAAATATCATCACCAAGGAATGGATCAAAGAAATCCAAATCTGAAACCACGTAAGAGTGGACCGGTGCATGTGTACAAGAAGGGAATTCTTGCTTGTGGAGCGGAACTTCTTCATTATGGACATCATCTACCTCGCCCCCACTCTCTTGGAGCATGTGATCATCTTTTCCCAACTCATCTTCAGTACCCAAACCTACCTCAGTAGCACAATCATCAAGACTGATCTTCTCCTTTCCCTCCTCAGGTGCTGAGACTAATGGTAAATCAAATGGCTGGGGAGTTTCTGTATGAAAATCACAGTGATCAGTGACTTCATCAGTTACAACTTGTACCGTTTGAAACTTTTTCCTGTATTCTTGGAAAAACAACTTAACACTACTATCTTCTTCATCATCTTCAACCATAGGTGGGTCTTCAAAGGCATCAAGAAGTGTATCATCCATCATGTTCCCACTATCATAGTCTGACTCGCTCACGTGATCATCCATATTGGTTTCCTCGGGTTGAGCGTCTGTGTCGCTAGGATAAGATCTCTCGGACTCCTCAGATAAAGCCTTTCTAATCTGCCCTAATTGATTCTCCATGTTCTGCCTCCTTGTGTTTGCTTGCTGTTGAATTGCCATGCTCGCCTCAATTTCTTGCATGAATTGCTTGAGTGTTTCTTCCAGGTGAGACAGCTTCTCTGAAATTATCTCTTCCACTTCATCCTGTGGTTCATAGCTCGGCAAAGACGTAGGAGTGATTGAAACATTTGTGTTCGTAAATTGTGGGGAGGAAGAAGTGGGGTATGCAGTTTCCTGGAAAGGATGGTCATATAGAGGTTTGATGGGGCAAAGACATAAATGGTGATCTCCTCCACAGAAAGAACAAATGCTATCCTTAAAACATTCAGATATTTCCTCAGGCGTTTTATTTAGAAGCATAAATTCAAGAATGGAGCCTCGTCTTACGCTTACCCAAGGGTAATGTGATGAAGGATAGTAAAAATCAGAATGAAAGAGTTGTGTGGTTGGAGTGTATGGATAAGAAGGCTGAATATTTTGTGGTGTAAGAGAGTAATTTTGATGAGGTGAGTAATATTGAGGAGGAGGAGGAGGAGTGTAAGGAGGGTATGACGTATATGGTGAATATTCCATGGAGGTTTGAGGGTAAGGAATTCCTCCAGGAATTTGGCTGAATAGGTTCATCTCATGCCTCTTTGAAAAATACCTGAAAGGTTAGCACAGAAAAAAAAAAAAATCCTACGAAGAACTAAAAAAAAAAAAACTAACTAAAAAAAATCTCGCTGAAATTAATTAACCCTTAAAACCGACACCGTCCCCGGCAACGGCGCCAAAAACTGATGTGTGTTTTCTCGCACTTAAAAAGATTGTAGAATAGTGGTTGAAAGTACGAGTATCGTCTCCACAGGGACGGACAAAAGGGAATTAAAGATTAACTAAATTCAGCGATTAAA